ATTGTAAGGGTCTATATGTATTAAAAAAAATAAAACTTTTTTGTATTTGTTTGACTGCTCTACTACACATGGTTTAAAATGATTTCGGTCTTTTGCTATTTTGTATGGAATCATAACTAGTATTTATACATTTCACATTTCTTTTGCTAAAAGATAAATATTTCATTCGAAAATGAGAACGATTTAGGATTACAATGTTACTTATAAACTTAGAATTTTTGAATTCCATGGCAAAAAAATTAAAACATGAAAAACAATATGCATAACGATTTTCCATCCGTCCACTCGACATTGACCCTAAAGCTGATGGAGCAGGACGAAGAGATGACGATGAATAAATGTTCTTCCAAGATCAGTTGTGATTGAGAAGGCCGGAAGTGAAGCACAAAGAACGCTAAGATCAGACCTATTGCACTAGAAGCCGTTCAAAAGAGGTCCAAGCAAGGGGATGTCAACGGCAAAGACTTCAACGACCTCGATCACCGGCTTCTTCGGTGAGAGCGACTAGAATCCCTCTTCCATGAGCTCGACCCGAGAAGAAACCTCATTCCCAAAAACAGTAATCGGTGCAGCTTCCCCTACCAAAACGTTGGCTAGTACAAAGCTAAATAGACATCCAAGAACAGCACCAATCACCAATGGGCTTACTAGCTCCTCTAATGCTCTAAGTTAGGCTAACGACACTAAGCACTAAACCAGGACACAACTCAACACCACATCCTCAAACGTATGACACATTCTACACCTGGTCCATTCCATCCCACAACAAAAGATATACGATGAAGCAACTTAAGATACAACCATGAGGCAACCACCGGAAGCTAGGCCAAACCTAAAGCTACAAAACCGCACGAACCAGTAGCAGTCCAAAGCTTACTGAAGACAATACCTGTACCCGAGATGCCACAAAGCCACACGATAGAGAGATATACCGCTGTCCACAACAATCCCAGCAAAAGAGTAGCCTAATCAACGAGGCTGATCAACAACAAGGAGACAAAGACAGTGAACCAGCTCACAAAAATCAACATCGGATCCAAAAGGCTAGGTCTAAGCGACCGAGGCTCCAAAGCAGCGAGAAAATGAAAGCCTTGACCAAGGACTCAAACTCCATCACAACAAAGGAGATCCCGAAGACTTCGCCGTAGAGGAAAGCATGGGAGACGTGGTGAAGACATAGACCAATCCTCCACAAGCCAGGTCTGTCCTCGATCGGAAGGGCTGTGCAGAGAGAGGCCATACCACCAGAGGAATTCGAGCCGCGGCGGAGATCCAATACGGAGATTGGAAAGATGCAAGACCGAAAGAAGATGATAAAGATGGGACCACGGTTTAGGACGCTGCTCCATAGCCGCTTGAAACCTCTACCATCATCGGAAATCGCAAGGCCAGAGGAGAAGCTACAAAATAGATCTGTGTCGGTCGATAACGTGAGGCGGGTGAAAGGCTTAGCTAATTTCCG